ATAAATTCTGTTGATCTACTTATAAATCACAACATATAAATATTAAAGAAATGAAAGAGCGTGTTACTTATCAAACCTGTAAGGACACATGCATAAAGAAATGTGGCATTCAACTGATTTTCTATGAAATATAGTGTAAAAATTACATTAGTCTTGAAAACACATGGATTATTGGAATTGTGGTTATTTTGAGCCTAAAGTAAATGGATTAAGCAACTTTTCATTTCACATTCCTTGTGAATACATTATCTTAAAATGACCAAATATTGACTGAAGCCTACTTGTGAAGAAAATGGAAATGAAGAAAATGATGATTCTGAGTAATGATATTAACTTCTTCATTTGGAAAAAATTATTTGAGAAAAAATATGTTAGGAAATGTTTTCTAGTCCACTGTCAAATAACTTTGGAACATAAGATTTTGTAATTTGTAATAAATTTCATCTTTAAATATGAAATATGTATTTATTCCTTTGTGTTTTAGATAATAATAATAATTGTTTCTTGAATATAGATGATGTGTTTTAGCTTTTGAAAAAAGACTTTTCTTCTTTTAGTAACATTTCTCTATTTTCCTACTAGTAAAAGGCCTACCTCCCAATTAAATTGACTTTATAAAGTATATGTAAATGAAAATTATAACAATGTCATATCCAATAATATGTCACTGTCTTTAAACCGTTACAGTTTTAAAACTTTCCATGTTATATAAAATATTTATATTCATGGAAGATTACCTGTCAAAGGGAATAGTGTTAGTATCTATTCAGATCTTAAACAGTTCTAGTGTAATTGATCTTTTCACAGATATATTTTTACCTGAATGCATAATTGGCACATGGCCAAAAGAATAAACTATTCATTGGAGATAATATTTTATCTTTTTTGGTAGCTCTCTGTATTATACAAAAGAAAGAAAAGAAAGATGTGTGTGTAGGTGTGTGTGCATGAATACAAGATTTATTTAAAAGTACAATGTAGATATTTTAGGTATTCTATCTTTCTATGGGGATATCTATCTATTTTCAGGGATTGGTCATTTATCCCAAACTTTAATAAACTATCTTCTTAACTATTATAATTGGTTTTTAAATTACTATATTTTCTGTTGTTGATTAGAGTAGATTTTATAGTGTAACATCACTGCAGCTTAGAAATATCTTTCTTTTATCTTCTTTTCTATAGTTTTCTTTGGCATGGCCCTGAAGTTATTCATGAATTTTTTTTTTAACTATCATTTGAACACCAACATTATCTTTGTCATTAAATATTTTCTTTAAGTGTACAAACTCACTCTGAAGCAAATGCTAATATACAACAATCTTTGTCAATTTTGACTAGTGTTTCTATTTGCCATATGGCAAATGGGTATTTGGTCACGAAATTATTCTAATTCACAGACTACTTTTGCTTGAAGATTTTCAAAAACTGTATACATGAAAATTTTATTGAATTCTTTTTCATGATTTCTACTAGTATATTTTCATTTTGTAGTTCTAAATTGTAAAGTGTTTACTTGTATGTCAACTGAGTTTGTATTTTACATACAACCCAAGTATATGGGTATGTCATTTTTATTACATAAATATCAGTTTTTACATTTCTTAATTTTGACATGCTTTATGTACATGTTATTTTTTCATGAATTCTGACTGTCTTTGTTTTAAGTGTCTTGTCCCATTTTTACATCTCTAGACATAGCAGAAACTGTATCAAATGAATCATTGACAGGATACTTACATATTAAAAGGGCTTTAAATTGTGTGATTAATTCCTACAGTCTCCAGTGGAAAGAATCAAACAATGCTGTGTCTAAGTGATCTGTTATTCTTTTTGTTTTCTGACTTTCTTTGTTACCCTCACATGAGGAGAGTAGCATGACTTGACCAGGATTCTGTGGGATAAGCATTTCCTTTGACATCACATTGAAAAATAGTTTTAGCCTAACATAAAGCTTTTAAAGTTTTGATAAATTAAAACATAATTTTAAATTGGTGTAAAGATGAATATGGATTGGGTGAATGACTCATAATTTAATATTTTCTTCATAAAAAAGGTATTCTTAAAAATAATTTTCTTTGGATAATAATAGAAATTATAAATCTATACTCAGACATTATGGCTGTACAACACCAAATAAAAATAAAACCTATTTTTCTTCTCTTTGGTAATTTTCTAACTGAAAATCAATAAAAGCAAAGTGAACCCTGAAATGGCAATAATGAAATTACCCTTTGTGTTGGTGTTTTATAGAACTTAAGTGATTATAAACTCTTAGGTGACTAGGATTTCTAGAATTTTCCTCTGATTTCTTGATGTTGCCCATACGTATCTTCAAAGTAATTTTATTTGTGTCTGAGATAAGATGTAAGTTTATTGTTCTGGGGTTTGCATATTAACCAACTCTAGCTTTGATATTAATAATAAGTAATTACAAAAGTGACATTTTCAGCTGTTTTCATAAAAATAAATGCCCATTTATTTTTCTTGCTATAAGTATTTTTCATAAGCCCACTTATTAGAAGTCTAACCAGAAGCAGGATATTTTCCCAAATATACTTATATCCCACTTAATTTACAAGTCACATGACATATTTTACTGGAGTTATGCTTAGCCCTGGGTACTGATGGAAAAAAAATTTTTTAATTGACTCCATGAAACTTACCTTTGTAGAGTTGTCTGGTGTGTAACATCACATCGCAGGGGCGAGGAGAAAGGTAAACGAGGCCAAGTGGACACCATCTAGTGGTCACACAAACCCAGTGCAATCTAATTTGAGTGTAGGTAGGTCTTCAAAAACAACTCCTAAGTCTAAAGGAGCCAAGCATGTAAGTGGGAGAAATGGGCGGGAGAAAAATCATAAGTCCATATTTATGGATGGATATGTGGTGTGAAAATATAAGGTAAAATAAATATGATGTAGAAGAATCTATTTCAAATTCAGGATGGAAAGAGAAGGCCCCAGGGAATGGTGTGTTCTGTGACTAACCTAGCGCTCATAATCAATTCATTTGATTGATGTTTTTCAGAAGCATAAGCCCAGTGTTGTGACCTCCCAATTTTTCAAAAGAAAATGGAAGTCTGGATTTGTATATGAACGCTCTTTAAAAAATATATGTGTGTTCATGCATACAGAACTGAGGTACAGTCTAGAGGTGCAGGAGTGGGGAAAGGATTCACCAGAGACAAATTGGGGAGTAGAACAGGCAGACTGACGAAGTACTCAGCTGAAGGGAGCCGCAGGTGAGACAGGAGAGATCTGCCGCGCCATGTGGGTCACCTCCGGCCCAGGGGATGCAACTCAGGTGCTGAAGCGACTGTGGCCAGCTTCACAGTGCTGCGCTTTAACCCGTTGCGCCACCAGGGAGGGCCCTGTAGATGAACACTCTTAATTTTAATAATACAGCATCTTCTTTTTAAAAGGTCTTCTGTGACCCCAATTTAAACATATCTTGGGCTGATATTTGGCCATTTTGAGATTTTCTTTTTCAAAGAAGGTCTTGAATCTACTGATTTTCTATTATGGCACGGAAAAGTTCAGAGCATCCGCCTGTAACATTATGACATGTGGCTGGAATGTAGTCACTGAATCGTTGCTAGATTGGGTTTTGGTTAAAGATTATTTTTATTAAAAATAACAGCAGTGCATAAAGTGGGCTTCCCGGGAATGTGCTCACACAGCACGCTCATTTGTTGTAGGGCTTTCACTCGAAGAGTTTAGGATGGAAGGTTCCAGTGTTTACTCTGTTTCTCGAGCTCCACATATTTTTTGATTTATAGTACTTTAGTGCATCTTTTTTGTAACTTTGTGCTGGGCAGCGCGGAGTTCTTAAAAAAAAAAAAAAAAGCAAACACTAAATTATAGCCTGCAACATAGAGGAGAATGAGATGGCTGCTTGTTATTTTTTTGTCTTCCAGCAGAGCCCTTAACTTTAACTGCATCTTTCCCCTTCTGTACAGAGAAAGTGAAATACAGAGAAAACAGAAGAATAATCAGTATTCAGAGTCCTTTGAACTTGTCTACAAAGTAGGAGAGGCAGTAGGAAATGAAAGGAGCCACAAATAGCCATGTGGCCTATTTCCTTCTCCAGGCCTCCTCTGTGCATTATCTCACCAGGAACATTTAAAGGCGATAAGGCAACTCTGGTCCTTCCAGCTGCTCATCAGACAGACACTTCAGCTCCTTTCACTCTATCTGGCCCAAGACCATTCTCTCACTCTTCCTCTCTTCCAGCTCTCCCTGTCTCCTTGCTGTTCCTGGATCACATTGGCAAATGCTCTCCCTTACGCTTTTGTATTTATTTGGTCCAAAAAAAATACATATCTGGGTAGTAAAAAGAGGTTTGTGTGATTGGTGTCAATATAAAGGGCAATCACTTTGTATAGGTAACTGGCATAGAAAACCTAAAAATTAAATAAAATTGACTTAAGACAGTAAAAAGTAAAAAATATGTGCTCAAAATGACTGTCATGGTACGCCGGCCTCACTCAGACCTTGGGCTAGCTGTCTGTTATCTCTTATCTTCAACAATAGTAATGATAAAAATAATAGTGTCTTATTACCCTCTTTGTGCATATGTTTTCACTTAGCTCATGTTTTCTTAAGCAGTTAGCCTAATAAATATCTAACTATGCAATTATTTCATTTGCTATTCACTTGGTAGATTCCCCTTTTAGAATAAAATCTCCACAGAAGTGTGCCTATAGAATTATTTTTCAGTGTTGTTCTCCCTATTCTAAAAATGTCTGGCATCAAATAGTTGCTCAATAAATACGTTTAAGCCAATTTAAACCAGAAGGTGCACATGGCATAATCATAAGTTGGTTATTATGATTTAGAGATCTGTTATTATTGTCACCTTTCTCAAATATGTGTTAGGCAAATGTCTTTAGTCCATTGCCAAGAGGGTCACCTGACTGTTGAATTACTGCCTGAACTTTGACATTTAGTAAAATAATCTGTAGACAACCGGTCACTGATGTGATTATTTTGTTACAGGTGTCTAAACTAGCTGGTGTGTTGGTGAAGCATGGTGTCAACAAAGGTGACACTGTGGTCATCTACATGCCCATGATTCCACAGGCCATGTATACCATGCTGGCGTGTGCGAGGATTGGAGCCATCCACAGTCTCATATTTGGGGGATTTGCCTCCAAAGAACTAAGTAGTCGCATTGATCATGCAAAGGTAAGCACTTTATTTTGGGGAAATCAAATAGTAGTGTTTTTTTCTTCTTTTTTTTTTATCATTTAGCCCTACTTATCTATGGGTGACTCAATCCCACTTTCAAATGGGATAATTAAAGTTTACCTTTTCTTTGGCTCTATCTATTAATTAAATATTTATTTTTGAGTCAGTCCCATAGGAAAGCAACTTGCTAGGTGCTGTGAGGAATATGAAGTGTAAGATAAGGCGCATTCCTTCCAAATTAGCTTGCTATATAATCAGGTGCAGAAAAAGACATGAAAAAAATAACTGCTACTTTATTTGTTCATTCCACATATTTTTGCTAATCTCTCGATATGTGACTGGTATTTTCTTTGAATGTGGATAATAAATGATATTCATCAAATAAATGAGTGCTTCCCTATTTTTATAATCTACATACTCCAGGAATGGTGGTATAGTATAATGGTTAATATGGTGTAGTGGGGAGGGATGGGGATCACATGTGTAAGTGGGGGTACCAAAATAGCAATTTGTAAGGTTGTTCTGAATTATTATTAAGATGTTGAATTTAAAGCAGAACAGGGTCTGGCATATAATACTCCTCATTAAAAAAAAAAAAAGTTAACTATCATTAGTCTACAAATGGCGAGCAAGAGTCTGCAAACTTTCCTCTGTATGTTACCAGATAGTAAATACTTTCTAAGCTGCTGATTACATGGATTTTGGTGTAACTATGCAGCTGTGGTGCTGTAGCCCAAGGCAGAGCACAGCTGTGCTATGTGAATGAAGGGTGGAGCAGCGGCCTAATAAAACCTTAGAGAAACACTCTATGCATCAACTTTTACTCCCACTATCTTTTGAAGACCCCTGGTTTAGGGGAAAGAGTGACTTCTTTCAGTAGGGGTGGCTGAAGAACAAGGTTAGGTTTTGGCTAAAACCTCTCATTAAATGAATGGTGCTGTGGAAACTAAAAGGAGGAAATAACCAATATGTCCAGTAGGTTAGCCAGAAAAGGGTAAAATAAATTCCTTTGAAAGGACAGTGAACAGACTGTGCGACTGACTACAAAGGGAGAGAAGATGAGTTTATAGAAACAGCTTTTGTCTGAAATAGATCCTGTAGACATCACCAGGGGAAAGTTCTGAGCAGAGAGTGGCCTATTTTAAGCAATGTTAAGAGGAGGCAAATCTCACAAAATGATATGAGTGGTAGAGAGTTTAGGGGCTGTGTGTGAAGCAAAGGACACTGTGCAGGAGAGTAAAGGCAGAGGGGAGATGACAGAAGAAAGATTGTTACTTGACCGAGATAAATAAAAGTTCTCTGCAAAAGCCCGAGAGGAGACTTTCTTTTTTAAGTTTTATTTATTTATGCTTACAGAACTGGGGTACAGGCCAGAGGTTTGGTGGGTGAGGGGATTCACCAGAGACAGAGTGGGGAACAGAACAGGCAGATGGACTGAAATACACTGCTGAGGGGAGCAGTAGGTGGGTCAAGAGAGGTCTGCCACACCATGTGGGTCAGCTTCCTGGTTGGGGATTGAACTCGTGCTGCAGTGGCTTCTGAGAGCTTCATAGTGAGATGCTTTAATCCATTGCACTACCAGGGAGAACCCAGAGGAGACATTTTTAACATGGAAGGGAGCTAAGCTTTATTAAAAGCCCTCTGAGCACTAGGCATGGAGTGAAGTTTGCATATCTGACTTTATCTGATAATAGGTAAGTCCATAGAACCCCACATCTGGACTCACCACCATATTCTTTTCTTTTTTCTCTGAATTAAACATGTTGAGTTAATGTTCTTGAAGGGAAATCAGAGGAGAAAAGTCCATCAGTCACTCATTAATCTGTAGGTTGTTGGGGAATCTCTGAGGGAGAAGTATACTCCAGTGATTTAGCTACAGAAATGCCAATTGAATAAGCATATGAGATGAATTATTTTTTTAAGTAACTTCATAAAACTTCTGTTCTTACACTGAAGTGGTTTTATTTTTAACACATGCACACAAAATTCTTACAGTGTGAAATCAAGTAAGTGCATATTCTTCTGGGCGAGACTATCTTGTGGGTTCAAATTAAAGACACATATCTATTTGTATAGAATTAAGAGTTAAAATCAAGGATGATTTTGATGTCATGATTTACAAACAAATACACTGAAGAAAAAAAAATTAATAGATGAACTTGGGAAGATGGATTCTAACAAGCCAATCTAGGTCAAACTAAACCACCAATAAACTGCTGTTAATAGAAGTATGAAAGGGATTTTTTTCCAGCAGAAAATTTTCCAGTTTTAATATTATTAAATTATTCAAGTTTTGATATATTCTCTATATAGTCTTAATTTTATGTGTAACTTACTTTCATGCATTCAGAATTCTAATCTTAGGATATGCTATCTAAAATTATTTTTGTACTACAGATATTAAAATGTGAATTATATTCAAATCTGACCTTTAAAAAAACATAATAAAAGGAACTAAGACTTACTTTCCTCTTTTTTTTTTCTTCATTTTTAAAAGGCAGCCTGATAATGTGGAAAGAGAAATGTTCTGTAATCAGCCAGAACTGGCCCTCTGTCTGACTCCTCTGCTGACAACCTGGGGCAGCTATAGAAATGCACTAAGCCTGGGCTGTATGAATATTAAATGACATCCAAAAAGGAGAGGGTACGGTATATGCATATAGTTGGCATAATATAAACCTTCCATAGATAAAATGTATTGTGATCAGAAATCCGGATTCAGGAATAGATGCTCTTTCTTGGATTGATTATCTGTGTCCTGAATAATTTTTTTTTTAAGATTTATTTATTTATTCATACAGAACTGGGGTACAGGCCAGAAATGCAGAGGGTGAGAGGATTCACCAGGGACAGAGTGGGGAGCAGAACAGGCAGATCGACGAAGTACACTGCTGAGGGGAGCAGCGGGCAGGTCAGGAGAGGTCTGCCGTGCCATGTGGTCACTCTGGGGCAGGCGGGGATCGAACTCATGCGGAAGTGGCTTAAGCTTCTTAGTGCAGTGCTTTAACCCGCTGCGCCACCAGGGAGGGCCCTGTGTCCTGAATAATTTACCAGTCTTCTTTGCTTTGGATTTCATGGTGAAGAAACAGTGTAGTTTAAAGAATAAAGACATGTTTGTTTCTATAAATTAAGGGAATTTGAGTTTTGTTCTGCAAATATTTATCGAGAGCTTATAGGTTAAACATGGCGGCAGGTAGAGGTATAAGAGATGTAAGCAGGATCTAGATTTGGTCTTGGAGAGCTTCCTGTGCGGGGCTGCACTGGAGAAACACTTTGACTCCAGTCAGACATCTGAGGCATGTTAAGAATGTACTCAGGAAGGGAATTAACCGGAAGTTCTGTCCTGTACAGGCATGCCTTTGGCTCCATGGGCGCCTGTATTGCAGAATGACAGCAAGTTGTCATAAAAAAGAGCACAGTGTAGCTTAGTGACAGGGACAGGTTCAGGCTTGCAGGGCTCAAACATGAATCACTGGGGAACTTTAAAGACAAAATTGCAAATATAATATTGGATGTAAATTAATATATACATAGAATGAGAAAAGAATTGTGAAAGAATTCGCTGAGATGTGGATTCTGTAGGCGTGAAGGAGAGATTCTTTCATAAAAAATCCTTAAAAATGCCTCCTAATGGCCACCAGGCTGGTCTTCATGCTACCAATTCTGCAATAGCCAGTTCTTTTGGGGACCTCTGCAAGTGTGAAGCCCCCAGGTTTGAGTTCACAGACTCTGGGACATCTACCTGGCATAATTTTTGCAGAAAGTATTTTTAACATCTCCCTCTTGCAGGCCAGAAAGATCATTGTGCATGCAATTTTGAACAGGTAAGTGAGATTTATGTTAAAATGATTAGGTCTGGAATATTTTAAAAGGGTTTATTGGTTTCCAGGTCATTTATTCAATGAGGAACGGAATTATGCAAACATATCGTTGGAAATGTTATATTACCAGTCTGCACCTGAAATATTGTGATTACCTTAATGAGTATTGCTAAGCTTTCTCGATTAATTCTTTTTTTTTTTTATTGTAGCCCAAGATGGTTGTTACAGCATCATTTGGCATTGAACCTGGAAGGAGAGTAGAATACATCCCACTTCTAGAAGAGGCCCTGAGAATAGGAAAACACAAACCAAACCAAGTTCTCATTTATAATCGTCCAAATATGGTAATTTGAATTTTGGAATTAGTTCTTGTTTATAGTGATGTGATAAGGATGATTTTAATTTTACCATTAAAAGAGACACTTGATTTATAAACTATTAAGCAGGCGATCTGAATGTCACTGTTATTTTGAGCAAAAAATGAGAGAAGTATGAACATTCTTTTCTGCCTTTATGAAAAACTAGCTTAAAACAAAAAGATTGAGGGCCCTCCCTGGTGGCGCAGCGGGTTAAAGCACTGCACTAAGAAGCTAAAGCCGCATGAGTTCGATCCCCGCCTGCCCCGGAGGTGACCACATGGCGCGGCAGACCTCTCCTGACTCGCCTGCTGCTCCCCTCAGCAGTGTACTTCGTAGATCTGCCTGTTCTGCTCCCCACTCTGTCTCTGGTGAAGCCTCTCGCCACCCCTGAGCCTCTGTTCTGTACCCCAGTTCTGTATGCACAAATAAATAAATCTTAAAAAAAAAGTTAAAACAAACAAACAAACAAAAAAACAAAAAGATTGAGGCCCTCCCTGGTGATGCAGCCAGTTAAAGCACAGCACTGCAAGCGAGTCACAGCTGCTTCAGTGTGAGTTCAATCCCCAGCCCTGGTGGTGACCCACATGGCACTGCTCCTGTCTCACTTGCTGCTCCCTTCAGCAGTGTACTTGATTGATTTGCCTGTTCTGCTCCCCCAACTTTCTCTGGTGAATTCTCTCACCACCCCTGCACCTATGGGTTCTACCCCAGTTCTGTATGCATAAGTAAATCTTAAAAAAAATAATAAAAAAACATAAAGATTGAAATAAATACTCATAATGGTAGTAAATTTCATTCCATATCTAGTCTGTTGTGTCAATTAATTAAAATATCACAATGAAAATATTTACAAGTATCAATGACTTATGATATAATTTTAAAGACTTTACTGGTAATTTAAAAACCTTGCTGTTAGCTCTCAAACTAGGTGATAACATTATTCCTATTTTAAAAAAGAAGAATCCAGTGAACAATACTCTGTACTGACATAGGTATTAAGTACCAGGGTCAATATTTGAAAGTGGATACTCTGATTAAGATGCTTAATCTCTCATCAATCCTGCCTTGGATCATTCATTTGTATGTAAAATGCCTTTTAAAACATTCAGAGAAGGTATTTAGGCAAGAAATAAAAACTACACTCAAGAAAATAAAAGGTGAACATTGAAAACCCATAAATATGGTCTTTGAAGGAAGAAAAAACAGTATAACATATCAATGAGTGCTTTTAACAATATTTTTTGGCTAGTAAATTGACAGTGACCACCTTACCTCTATGTCAAAACAAGTTTCTAGCAATTTTTTTGTGGAACCAACTTGGGCTTCTAGCACATTAAATTTTTTTCCAAAAGAAACATTACAGGAGTACAAGGAATCATTATCATTTTGTGAAACTCTTGTGAGTTACCTGCAGAAAGTGCTTAGGTGGCAAGAGATGAAAATAGAAACATTACAACGATGCCATTTGGATTACCACCTAGCAATCCCCATTACCACATTCACATTAAATTCCTGTGTAAAGTTTCAGGAACCTGTGGTTCCTGAACTTCCACACTCAGTGACTTTAATATTCTTACTGTCTTGAAGATTTTCTTTCTTTGAGATGACCTCAAGCATATTTTTTGAGAGGCTTGATTACTGTTAAATCAGGAATTGTAGAGTCAGCGATAAAGAAGGTTTAGGTAAGAGGTTAGAGGAAGGGTAGAACATATACAAAAATTGTGTTTATGTTTGTATGTGGTATTCACACATAAATGAGTTTGTGTAGAATTAATGGAGCATAAGCTAGTCCCACTGCTAAATACTTTCCAATACTTGTCCTTTCTTGATTCTCACAAACTATTGTAGTAAACTGCTGGTATTGGCCTCTTTTACAAATGAAGAAACTGAGTCATGGAAAGGTCATAACCCAGTCACAGCTAATAAGTGGTGAACCAGGATTTGAAGCCCTGCTTAATGACCTTCCGCTGACATGATATATGCTGTTTCTTTTCTTTTATGAAACACACTAAAATGGATATTAATGTTTTCTATTCAGATTTTTCTCATGCAGATCTCTTCTCTTTCCTATTAAGAGGTAGAGATTTTACTTCCTGCCTCCTTTTCATGACTGGCTCAGTTTTTCACTTTTTCTTCCTCTTGAGATCCTTCCCTTTATTTTGACTGTCTTTATTTTAGATAAGGATGTTGGCTCTCTCTTGTCTTTCTTATTGGACCTACTCTTTAGGCAGTAATTAAGCCCAGTGGACAGGCTTTGCTTTGAATTTAAAGAGACACAAAAGATGAGTCTCCATGGTACCTCTCATTAACCAAGGTTGCATTATTGCCAGAGGGGGGTACAGTCCTGCCTGCCATCTCTAAACCTCAGGCAAACAATGACAGAATCAAATGAACATCACATCCTAATCACCCCTGGTGCTCTCCCATACAACTTTTCAGGAATGATAACATCAAGGAATGTCTATAGAAGTGCATTTGCATAAATGTAAAATCTCATGTTGATATTTTCCTCCATCTCCCTTTTACCAAATATCCTTTATATATGACTCTATATCTTAGCTTGAAGAATAGTCATTAAGTCCTCATTTCATTAATCTGGAATTACTTTTATCATAATTCCAGAAAGGAATTATGATAAAAGAAAAGGTTGACCTTTTTTTGTTATATAGTGTGTTTTTTTTCATAGTTCTATAATTCTGATGGCAAAGGCTTGATGACTTGAAATAGATGGTGTTTAACTGATGTATAAAACCAACTGGAAATGTACAATTTCATTATTTGTATTTATCTAAATGGCCCAGCCAAGGGCTTTTTAGAATGAGGCTGGAGAAGACATGAGACTTTACCTTCATGAAGGTGAATTCAGATTGCTACTTTTCAAACTGTTTATTCATAAAGGCATCATATTTGTGAGATTTATTGAAGGGTTAATTTGTAAGTGGACACTTTAAATAGATCCTGACTAAAATAAGGAGATTGAAAAATGGAAATGCCAAGACTTTTCTAAATCTCTCTGAGACTCTAGGCTCAGATATCACTGTGAGGAAATGCTTCCATGAACTCTCTAGGTGGTGGATCTTACTTTCACCAAGGATGTGTCGTAGTTTAGTGAACATTTCTGAAAATAACTAGATAGTTACTGATGCTTAACCCTATTACTGTATCTTCGCTGTATCTTCCTGTTGGGATAGTTTTTCATAAGCTACTTCCAGATGCTTAAATTCTGTAGTTATTTCACTGGCACTTTTTTTGTTAAAAGATTTATTTATTTATGCATATTGAACTGGGGTACAGACCAGAGGTGTAGGGGCAGTGAGAGGATTCACCATAGTCAGAGCAGAGAGCAGAACAGGCAGATCTACAAAGTGTACTGCTGAGGGGAGCAGCGGCCTTGACGGGGGAGGTCTGCCAGGTCATGGGGATCACCTCTGGGGCAGGGATTGAACTCGCACCCAAGCCAGCCATGGCCAGCTTTGCAGTTCTGTGCTTTAACCGCTGTGCCACCAGAAAGGGCCCACTAGCACTATTTTTAAAGAAATCTTTCTCTAAGGTGTGTTGATTTAAACGTATGACTCTGTGATTATAACATTTACAACACAAACTTGCTTCTAGGAATAAGAAAGCAAATATTATATTAATGAATGATCTAAATAGAGGAAAATTTAGATAGCATTTGAAATGTCACATACTCCCATTAATTTGAAAACCTGATTTTTGTTCTCAAAAAAGCAAAAGTAGATTTCTGTCCTACTCCTAAAGACTAATATTCTCTCACTTGGAAAGATGCTATTATAGTACTCTTACATAATGACCTTGGAAAAAAATAGAAATTTTCATGGCCTAGCTAATATTTTACTGGGAAGACAACAGTTCCAAGTTAAAAAAAAAAATCAGGTTTTGAAACAAAGAAATCAGTTTGTTCAGTTAATACTAGTGTACATGCAGCATGGAAACATGAACTTCTGTCTCAGTTAAGCTCTGAGTCTTGATGACAACATAGTTGCATCATATTGAATTTCTTAGGGACATTCCTATAGGTTCAGTTAAAAGCCAACAATCACGCCTTCCCTGGTGGTGCAATGGGTTAGGATGCAGCACTACAAGCTCGCTGCAGCCACTTCAGTGCGAGTTCCATCCCTGCCCTGGAGGTGACCCACATGGTGCAGCAGACTTCTCCTGACCGGCCCACTGTTCCCCTCAGCTGTGTACTTTGTTTATTTGCCTGTTCTGCTCCCCACTCTGTCTCTGGTGAACCTCTTACCACCCTTGCCCCTCTGGCCTGTATCCCAGTTCTGTATGCATAAATAAGTAAATCTTTAAAAAAAAACAACAACATCAAACTGCTGGATAATTATATGAACACTGATATTAACTCATGGCCCTGAGATATGTAGTCATAAATCTAACATTTAGTGCTAAATTGACCCATATTTTCAGTCAGACTGCTCAGACTTCTGTAGATTCAGCTACTTTTCATGTTCCCCTGATTTAATCTCCCCTGTCCAGCTCATATTCCTGTATTTTTGCCTTGTAGGATACAGTTCCTTTGGCTCCAGGTCGTGACCTTGACTGGGATGAAGAGATGGCAAAAGCACAGTCTCATGACTGCGTTCCTGTTCTTTCAGAACACCCACTGTATATTCTTTACACTTCTGGAACAACAGGGTTACCAAAGGTATTCACTCTCTTAGTGCTATCTATAGTAATAGACATTTTTTTTGCACCAAAAGTACTTGATTCTTGACTGAGGATGTTTGTAGACTGAGGTTTAAGTCTAGGTACTTTCTATCTTAAATAAATATATTGTTTAAGTATAGAAAACTACTAATTATTTTTAATGTCAAATGTGCTGCTCCTTGCAAAATCTTCACATATATTAGCACAAGTTGCTTTAACGAGCTATTACATTTAATAGATATTTGATCATATATCAGGTGGTTTAATAAAGTTTTATAAAAATAAATTTTAAATGAATAATTTTATTTTGAAAATGGAGTCATAACCTTCATATGGTATGGAATTGATTTTTTTATTTAAAGGAATTCAATTCTTTGTTATAAATGCACTTTTGAGAATTGGCATAGACAGTTTGAACAATAGGCAATTTATCTAGAGTATTGAACTGTTTGATTTGCAGCACTGAAGATACTCAAAGATTTTTAAATCAACTTACTACAAAATGTGTTTTCACAAAGTCAAGTTAAAAGCATCAATATTCATGAATGTATCAGATACAAAATAAATACTACTTTGCCTGGTAATGCCAGAAATTACTATTTCTCATGCAGCTTCATAAAGACTTGCAATATCATATTCTTATACAGCTCCATTAAGGTGTTCAATATTCATTGAATTGTATATTTTTAGTGGGAGAAAGACCTTTCACAAACACTAGCATTCTGAAGGGTAGTTGCCTCTCTGTTAGTAACAGATCTCTGCATCATTTGAGTTTTAAAACATAATTTGTGAATGGTCTAAGCATAGTGGTTCTATTTGGTTAAATTTTAAAAAAGAAAATTAGCATATTCTATGTAAAATTTCCACCTGTGAAAAAACAAATTTTTAAGGGGTAATATATTCTCTATGAAGACAGAGGTAATATTTCATTACACTTTATCTCCATGCTTTTTGTATCACTGGAGCTCAACAAGCTTTTGTTTTATATATATATACACACACACACACACCCCTATATATATAAACACATATATAAAACATATATATAAACATATATATATATACAGATATATAAGCATATCTGTGTCACTGAAGAACCAAAGTACTATGTGTTTGATTTTTTACACCTTTTATTTCTTCTTAGAAATAAATATTTCTTCATATTAGAGACCCTAAGACTTGATTGTTTAAGCAATCCAAATGATCTGCCGGATACAATCTTTAGCCTTCATGTTTTGCTTTTCTGCATATGCACATCACAGGAATTCCTTTGGAATGTGTGACTGTAAAATAAAAGGCATTTGGCAAGTTCTGACCTAACATAAAAGTATTAGAGGAAACCCCTGACTCTGAACAATGGAGTATGACATAATAAATTTTTTTTGAAAATCACATTAACTTTTTAAAAGCCTGATGTAATCTTATAAAAATATTTGTATCATCTCAAGACTTTAAGTTCCTCTAAAATTCATTGTGTCGTGCATGGGAATCTAGAGGAAAAGGAAAGAGGAGCTTGTCAGCAACTCAAAACTGGCTCATTCAATGAGGTAGAAATAAAATAAAAGTCATATATAGACTAGCCAACCTGAAGGGTTAAAAAGTGGTGATTGTAAAGGAGTGCTCTAGTTTTTCCAGACTTTCTCTGCTTCCAGAGGCTCTTTTGGGATTCCTGGATGCCCAAAGTAAAAACTGTTTGCCATTTCAATCATCCTCTTTTCTGCCCAATTTACATCCTGATGACAATTATTTCAAATGATGACTTAATTGTTCAAAGATCTCTGTTTACACTAATTCAGCTCAATTCAATAAGTGTATTGAATGTTACTTCTGTGCTGAGAAAGATAAAAATGTGAGTAAACTCTAGCTTTTTAGGTCATGTGGGGCTAAAATACATAAGAGCACAGGTCATGCAAGTTAGGTTGTGATCCTTGTAATAAGAAGGCAACCCTATTTCTTTCTCCAGGAAAATATGAATTTGAACGGGGTCTGCTGGATTAAGTACATAATCAATACATACTACTGAGACCGCAATACGTGTCTGGCTCTCGTGTTTGAAGTTTACATTCTGGAGCTGGGATATAAACATTAAACATGAAACATATGTAATGTGTGAAAAGCATTAGCTAAAACAAACCAGTGTAAGGTGATACAGTAATGGAATAACGCGAGTGCAGTTCTATCAGGGAAAGCTCTTAATCAGGTGACATTTGAATGATGAAAGATGAATAAATTTTATAGAGTGACATCACAGGGAGGAGGGAATTTATGGCAGGTTGTGCAAGAGTAACCCAAGGCAGGCAGGTGTAAGCAAGGCTCCAGGATGGCAGGTGCATGTGTTATAATACAAGTGAAGATAAGAAATGTCCATGTAATTAGGTAAGGGCCCAAACTGGAAAAATCTAGCCTAGACAATTAGGCTCTATTCTGTATGTAAGGTATGGACAACACTTATGCTTCCCAAGCAAGAGAGAGAAATATGAAGGAAGGTAACCTTGGCAACATTTTGTCATTAAGATGGGGAAGTATAAACCATGGACAAAGAGATTCATTTCCAGACTGTTGGTTTAGCACCCTACTTAGGACAGTGCATTTATTAAAGAGGAATAAGATTTGGTTCAAGGAGGATAGGCATGAGACAGGAAAAGCCCAAGACTGAATATGACAACATAAGAGGGTGGTTTTGAACATTTACTGAAACATAGTAAGATGATTTGGACTCAGGAAGATGGGATTTTTGAACATGTTGAGTATGGTGTTTCTTTAGGGCATTACATGGAGAGCCAGCTGACAATGGTGGAGGGGTTGGGGGGCAAGATACTGCTGGGGTTGAAAATAGATCCAGCCAGATATCACTGTGGAGGGCTGATGTTCAATTATGGGATTGAGTGAGTTTGCAAAGTAGAATATGAAGAATGGCAGGGTACACAGTTGTCTCTCAAGGTAGCTCATACGTGTCTCCCATTCTTTCCAGTGGACTTTAGCATTTCAAATGTATTGAAATTTACCTTGGTAACAAAACTCACTTGTTTTTTTTCAACCTTATGCATATTAATTTTTATTTTCTTATCTTCCTAACATTGCACATTCTCTGAGGTGTTAGAACATACTTCATACATAATTTAATCCTCTTCGGTACTCACCTTAAAATTGGGCCATGGCAGATCATCAGAATATTACCTCTCCAGTTAGTTCCCAGGCTCCTCTTTATTCATAAGATTCTCACTTCATTTTTGGTAGGTGTAATCAGGATTAATAGGATCTGAAATTTTAATATTGGGATTCCCAGAATAGAATCAAATGCATTTAGGAAGCATTTAAATGTAAATTTTTATGTCATGATGTTTATTTTCTCAATCTATGATCTTCGTGAAGGAAAATAATATTGTGAGCCTATTAAAATATTCCACTTAAAAAGATTCATTTCTCATGGGTGCCTATAAGACACCCATAAGACAGTCTGTTCTTTGGTTAAAATTTGTAGATATATTTAGGACCTATTTGCATCTCCGCTTCTGCCAGCCCTGGAGGTGACAGGTTGCTGTATGACAGGTTAATCTGTTAGTTGCTGCAAATATCCAGCATGCACAGCTGAGCTGTTTTGCATACATTTCTGTCAGGTTGTGACCTTCCATCTTGTTTGGTTTGGGTGTCTCTGTTCAGATACTCCAAAGCGCCATGCAACAGGAGAATCCTTTACCTGGATGGGGTGCCTTTTGGGGAGTAAAGATAGAGAGATATTCACATTTATCTTCTTCCAGCTTATATCATGGAGGCAGTGATAGCCATATACATACACAAAAACTCCAGTGCCAAAGGACAAGAGGGGGAAAGAAATTAAAAGTAAAGAGTTGAAAGGAAGGTGCTGGTGCTAGATAAGGTCTTTTGTCCTGATGTGCAGTTATTACAACTTACATAACTTTTGTTCTTAACATTAGGTAACTTAATCATATTCCCTCCTCTGGGAAATAAAAAGAAAAACCAAATAAAAAATAGTGAACATTTATTTTATCTGTGCTACAATGCTTGCAGAACTTGTTACGCCTTTGTTCCCATTTCACAGTTGCTCAGATCAATAAAACCTTACACTATTGGTAAGTAGCCCTCCACAGAAGCAGCTCCCACAGTCATCCAAAGGTGTGTAGCAAAAGATTTTCTGTTTGATGAAATATCCCAAGTGGAATTCTTTCATTTCTACTAATATGATTCATTAAGTTCCACAAATTTCAAGTGTTTTCCTGATTTTCAAAGAGGAGTATTTTTTTTAAAAATTACATTTTCACATGTATGCTTACTCCTTCAATAGTACGCTCACTTAGTTGATCAACAAATATGTTAAATACTGATTCTGTGCCAGACTCTGTGGTGCAGTTACATGGGCATTGTCCATGTTACACGGCTCTGAAAGTGATGGAGGAGACGAGGCCTGAAGTCAGAGATACATGAGGCCAAGAAATAGTGGTGGCGCTTTTACAGTGTCTTCAATAAATACTTGTGTGATGAAGTAGAAGCTAACCAGGCTGAGAATAGGGATAGAAACATTCTAAGAAGAGAGGATATCATCTGTAAAACCCTAGAGAATAGAGCAGTGGATTTCTTAAGGAATCAGAAATAAATCTTTTACTTCTCAACTCACTGCTCCAGCCATTATTGTCGATGAATTTCTTTTCTTCAGATAAAGTACATATTTCCTCTTTTTTATTGATTCTTGTTTTGTTGATCTCAGTATGTCAGGCTCACTTGAAATGTGTCTGCCTTCTATCAATCTGCATTTATATATACATGTATAAACAAACACCCACGAATAGGTATATGCCTTAATACACACGTACATATGGACTTGCATATTTTATGTGTGCAAGTGTTTATATTCATCTTGTATAAGCATTTATTACAGAATAGAATGATAGAGGTACTCAGTTTAGGGAGAATGAAGTTTCATCATGTACTCCCAACTTTCTTTTTGAATATTTTGATATTTGCCTTTCAGATTTTTATTGAACAATTAAAAGAAATTATGATGAAATATCCCAAGCATGTGTTCTTACCACCAACTCTTCCTTCCTCCTCTGCTACAGCCATGCTGTTACAACTATGTATTTCTTAAGTTGTGACAATCAAAACAACACAGTACTCTTCATCAAGGTGTCTCCTGCTGTATCATAATAGTTTCCTATAGGATGTCTTATGGCTTTCATTGTGGTTAAGGGCAGCTCATAAAGAACCATCCATGATTACTCTCAGATTCAGTTTTTGGGTGATTAATAATCAGTCCATAATTTTACTTCTGTTCAGGGGCAGAGTGATGGGCACCCCAGAGCCCCCAAACCTGCCAATTCTAAATAGGTTCTTCCATCCATCACATTAAGAAAAACATACTTAAGTACATAAGACCTTTCATGGAAAGGAAGTTTAATACAATTAGCGTTCGATACAGAAAGGGGGAAGGATAAAGTTTCCAAATCCAGCACTCAAAGTTACCCATCCCCTTATGAATGTGTATCCTTCCTTCTCTCCAGCTTCTCCTCCTCCCTGCTCAGCTCCATCCTTTGAGTGGGGCAGAGAACCTGAAACCTTCCTTTTTCTTGGGGACCACAATGTTACACTTCTACATGTGAATTTTGTAAATACCAGCGTGCATTAAAAGTTGACTGAAGGGCCCTCCCTGGTGGCTCAGTGGGTTAAAGCACAGTACTAAGAAGCTAAAGCCACTTCAGCATGAGTTTGATCCTTGCCCCATACACCTATGGGGATCACCATCCACATTGGCATGGCAGACCTATCCTGATCCACCTGCTGCTCCCCTCAGCAGTGTACTTCATCAGTCGGCCTGTTCTGCTCCCCACTCTGTCTCTGGTGAATCCTTTCACTGCCCCTGCACCTCTGGCCTGTACCCCAGTTCTGTATGCATAAATACATAAATATTTAAAAAAAATGTTGTCTGAAAAACATCTTCACATAGTTTCTTCCTGTTTCTGAGACAGAACCACTAACATGACTTTATTTGAGGGAACAGAACATTATTCCCACAGGCATGTCTTTCAAGTTCTGAGAATAATTTAAATATTATGGATGAGCCTACAAAAAACAGATTACAGGGATTTTTTTTGAGAACACATTTGATTATCTAATTGCTGAACATTTAAAGTAGTTGGAGGATAAGCACATGAAAAGATTCAAAGAGTAAAATGTGAAATGCTTGCTTGCATTTTATGAACCAATACTGATACTGAATAAGTATTTTTACCTCAAATATAATGTAAAAAACTTAATTTTTAGTTTCTGATTAATTTTGCTTGCATAGAATATGTTAATATGCTTTCTTTTGAGCATGATTTATGTGTTTTCAGAGACTGAACAAGACTTCTCATTTGCATTTTTATTATCATTACTTGGAAAATATGATTACACACAAGAAAAAAATGATTTCTTATTTTTAGTAACAAATTAGCATTATGATAAAGAAAATCTCCTTTTAAACCTTATATTTTTAGTTTTAAATTTTATATAAAAAAATCTATATATAGAATATGACACTGTCATACTTTTTTCTGCATCATATCAAATGTTTGAAAATTGAAATTGTCGTCTGAATACTTTGGAGACAAGACAAAATTTCATATCTAGGGATTAATGAATGGTAAAATGATGCTTGATGACATCATTTTATACCCATCCTTTAAAAAAATAAAAATAAGTGTATATCAAAGAGCAGTGAAAAACAGATGGTTTTTCTCTACCCTTAAACTTCATTTAACTGTTTTTAGAGAAGCTTTGATGATAACCTCTAAATATTTTGACATGTCTCCTGTCCTTTGGGTAGTATTGACACTAGGAAAAATGAAAAACTGAAATTGCTAAAACTATGGATATATTTTAATAACATTTAAGCTTAACTTTCATAATTTTAAATGTTTTTTATTCAACATCTCATTGTTAATTACCTCTCTTTTTGATGAAATGGATTTAAGTATTCACATTTCACTACAGGACAGTGTATTTAAACAAAAAATTTAGCTGAGAGGTAAACAGAAATCACTTCAAATCACTTTATAAGCATTACAAATAACTGACCTATATAGCCCCTATTATTTGCTTCCTTCTTATGACTTCCAGCTGACTCATCTCTTCTTGGTGCCAATAATGTAAAAAATTTACCCAATTATATTAATAATTTGAGTTACTGATAAAAATGGGTTCTAAATACAGAAGCAAGAAGGTAGAAAAAATATTCTAAGACCTCTTAAAAGAAATCATTATGGGGCCCACCCTGGTGGTGCAGCGGGTTAAAGCACAGCAGTGGGAAGCTAAAGCCATTTCAGCATGAGTTCAATCCCTGCCCTTCCCGGAGGTGATCCACATGGCACAACAGACCTCTCCTGACCTGCCCGCTGCTCCCCTCGGCAGTGTGCTTCGTCCATCTGCCTCTGTTCAGCTCCCCGCTCTATCGCTGGTGAATCCTCTCCTGCATCTCTGGCCTGCACCCCAGCTTTATATGAATAAATTAATAAATCTTAAAAAATCATTACTAATTATTATTAATAATTATTAATTATTAATTTTCTGTCTCCATAATAGAGCATATTGTCTATCCAAAAAAAAAATCACTTTTTATACCTCACGAAATGAATAAAACGTCTAGAAAATATTTTACAAGTTGATTAATATCAAAGTTTATCAAGCTACAGAACCAATAAGACAAACGAATTAGTGAAGTTTGTAAAGATAATACAGAATATACTTGGGAAAGGGCTTCTCCATTTACATAAGAAAATACATATGTGGAATCTGCTGGCAGGCACTGAGGCGGGCTCTATCCCAAGGTGATCAAAGAGCCAGCTGCCTGCTAACCGTATCATGCAACCTAGAAAGTAGCTGGCAAACACCAGCAAGGCTGCAGGTGATTTTTGCCAAGAGACCTGGTGTTGCTGATGTTAGATAAAATGTGCTCCATGGCTTGATACCTATGTTTGATTAGTGGGACTTGAAGAGGGTAGAAATTTTGGTAACTAATAAAGTCATTTTTTTTTCTCATTCCCTTGTTTCATGTATGAGTGTAAAAGCTGCGGGAATTACAACCAAAAGATACAATTAGTAGGATGTTTATTAGTTAGGACATGTTTTCCCTTTAGGAAAAATAATTTTTGTATAAAGTAGTTGTAATTGCTCTACTAATGATGTTTCAAAATATATGTGTATGCAGGATAACTGGTATTTCTCAGTAAATGTTCACCTGTTCATTCTGAATATCTCATGGCTAAGTCTTTCTGAGCCAAAGAAAATTAATGTTTAGGGTGAAGAAATAAGAAAATTAGTTATTACATTTACTATCAGTTCATAATTTGATAACTCATGTGCTTAGTTTTAAACTATGTGTATTGTATTAAAGTTGGATATCTTCAGTGTCAAGGATAGCAGCTAGATATTGACTCATGAAAGTTAGAGTTCTATGGTATAACAAGTCCGACATTTCCCCAAAGTGTAATATAATGCAAATATAATGTCAACTACAGTTTCAACTCAGCTTAACTACTTAGAGTTCCAGAATTCATTTAAAAATCAATAAATTATTTAGCACTAATACTGAGGTAGCATAATCCCCAGAATAGCATTTTAATGAGGATCCATTTTGACTATTACTTTGCTGTGGTCTAAGTGTCTGTTATTGACTTAATAATTTTAGGAGTAGCTATCTTGTGTTAATCTGTATGTTAGGCATAAAACTACCTTTGACTTCTTTGTGCACTCAACTTTAAGAATTTCCATTTCTTATTCTCAAAATATGTCTGCAAACGCATTAATTTATTACCCCCTGAAAAATCTCATTACGTGTGATTTTGTGAAATCATATGATTTTCATTAGATCAAAATTGGCCTGGATCTACAAATGGATTGATGCAGGCAAATTAATCTGTATTTATAATTAGAGGAACAGAGAATCATAATTTAAATGCAGCTCTGTGCATGTCAAAACATTTTATAGCTCATAGAATACACAATGCTTTAGACAGAAACATTTTTTATGGAAAGCACAGAGACAGATTTTTTTTAAAAGTTATTTATTTATACATACAGAACTAGGGTACAGGCCAGAGGTGCAGGGGCGGTGAGAGATTCACCAGAGGCAGAGTGGGGAGCAGAACAGGCAGATGGATGAAGTACATTGCTGAGTGGAGCAGCAGGTGAGACAGGAGAGGTCTGCTGCACATGTGGTCATCTCCGGGGTCAGGGATTGAACTCACATTGAAGCGTCTGTGGCTCCCTCGCTGTTGCGCTACCAAGGAGAGCCACGACACAGATCTTTTATTCTATTTACAGTTGTAACTTCTTTTCCTCTCCCACAGGGTGTGGTTAGGCCCACTGGGGGTTACGCTGTGATGCTGAACTGGACAATGTCTTCTGTGTATGGACTTAAACCTGGAGAGGTAAGCTTTGTTTTGAATTCACATTGCATGACATTTCTCTGATTGCTATGTTAATTTTTTCATTCTGTTTTTTTTTTTTTTAGGTGTGGTGGGCAGCTTCTGACTTAGGCTGGGTCGTTGGGCATTCCTATATCTGTTACGGGCCTCTTCTGCATGGGAACACAACAGTTTTATATGAGGTAATTAAAAAAAATACCATCTAAGGATGGTGGTTATCTTACTGAAACGTTTGGAGAAGTGGTCAGTAGAAATGGAACATTTTGTGGATTGGGGCAGGCAGTACTTTTATATATTCTTCTAGTAAAATATATGATTTCAGAAAGAGAAAGGAATAGAGAGACAGTAATAGTCATGTGTAGGCCTCTTTGATTTGTTAGTTTGCCCATTGTGGGAAGGCATCAATATTTGCTTGTCATCTATTCTGGCTCCCATCTTTTGTTCTTGTTTTTTTTTAATTATTTATTTTACAGAGGTAACATTGGTTTATATGCTGCATACATTTTAGAGATACAGCTTCATGTCTCTTCAAATATATGTTATATATGTTACTATACTATATACATCCAAAGCGTCAGCCAGTAACCCTACATTGCAATCCATTTTAATCTAAGCTAAACTCCATCCTGCTTTGCCTGGCCTTGTTCTTGACACATTTTCAACTCTCAATAAATATCTGTCAAATAAATGTCTTAATGAAGATATCCATATATATATATATGTTGCTGCATAGACTTTTTTCCTCTAAGGAAAAATGATATCTCTAATTTTCTGAAGTTATCTGAACTGGCTTTTAAGATAACTTCATAAGCAACTCAAGTAATAGTTTCCCCCAAAACACACACACACACACACACACACACATAACTTTTATGAATTAAACTAGACTATATTAATTGCACAATTTTGGAAAACAAATTGGACACCAGTAAAAATATGTAAACTGATTATAAATAATTCAGTATTTATTTTTGAGAGGGAAAAGCAATACCTTTTTAGAAGTCTACTATATTAATGAAGTTCTGACCTAAACTCCAGTAGCATATGAACCTTTATGCATGAATATGCTTTCTGGTCTATTTGTTAGATACTTGTTCCCCTTTTTCAACAACCTGTCATATGTAGAATTAAAACTCAGCAAGTCTCAGGAGCAGACACACTTTCTAGGATCCTGCCTCTCTCTTATCTTTGCTTGAATACCTCATACAAATGTACCTGCACTCACATTTTAATTCCATAATACAGTGGAACATTGCCCCACTGTATGAACGTTCTCCATAACTAAACACGAAATCATTGTAGTGGACAGACAATAGTCTTTAAGGATCTTTTTTTTTTTATTTTTGAGGCATTCATTATATTGTCTCTTGTTTTATTTATGACTATTGGAGTCTTTTCTCTTTTTCTTAGCTAAGTAGCTAAGTCAGTTTTCTTTGAAAAAACCAACTTGCCATTTCAATGTTTCCACTCTCTTATTTATTTCTGTAAAAAATAAATAGGAGAAAATGGTAGCTGTGTGAGAAGATGGACATAGTAATTAGCTTGTTTGTACTGTATGTATACACTCTCATTTGACATTGTATACATATATCAGGACTTCAAGTTGTACATCCTAAATATACCAGTTTTTTTTTTTTAAAGATTTATTTATTCTTGTAGAACTGGGGTACAAGCTAGAGGTACAGGGTCAGTGAGAGTCTTCACCAGAGACAGAGTGGGGAGCAGAACAGACATATCAAGGAAGCACACTGCTGAGAGAAACAGCGGGTGGGTCAGGAGAGGTCTGCCTCACCATGTGGGTCACTTCTGGGGTAGGTAATGAATTTATGCTGAAGTGGCTTTAGCTTCTTAGTGCTGTGTTTTAAGCTGCTATGCCACAAGGGAGGGCCTAAATATACCTCACCATGTGGGTCACTTCTGGGGTAGGTAATGAATTTAATTTGCCAATCATGCCTCAAGGAATGCTGCTGCTATATAAAATTAATAAGCAATAAGTGAATTTTATATGCTTAAGCCAATAAACAAGTTTTATTGTTATTATTGTTTTTCCTAAGTAATATTTTATTTGAGTGAAGAGTAACTTTTCTGCATAAATTTATAAAATGTTTTTTACTAGATGACCTCACATCTCTTCCAGTTCTTAGACACAAGGATTTGTTATTTTTATCCAATATTATCATTCTGAAAACTTCGTACCACAATAGGGTAACAAAAATGGAGTGAGAAATTGTAACCCCTCCAGTTACAAGACTTTGAAATCCTCCTTCTCTGTTTTTGTATGTAAAAGGTTAGCTTTGAACCTCAGGTTGTAAAATGCATTTTACTTTTAATTAAAAAAAAAAAAAGAAATCAACTTACTGTTCTTTGATTGTTATTACCTAGGTCTGAATGGTTAATTAGTTACTGATCATCCTAAGTCTAATTTGTGTTAAGTGATAAACTGGTTGTTATACTTGATCTTGATGGGATAATTGTCATTTTTTACTTAATTACAGTCTCTCTGAAAAGCCTCATGAAAGGAAAATTTGTTCTTGTTTTACATTTGTTTGCATTTCAAAATGTATACTTTAAGTACCTATTTCAATAAATTTGTTGGTATGCTCACCAGGGCAGATAACTTTGCCACTTAATAATTCAACAGTTAACTTTGAAGATATGTATGCCACTCTGCCTTCTCAGACAATAAATTAGTTAGAGGAAGTAGAGGATTTAATATTATGAATTGTGGTGTCACTGGAGTGAAAAGGTGAATATCTTGCTTTGCTTTATCTATGTATACGACCTTGGGCAAATTAATTTGACCCTTCAGGATCCATTTACTTCATCATTGAAACTAGAAAGTTGATACGTTCTCCCAGTTCTGCATTTCCATGGATCTTCTCAAAGTAAATTGGTCTCATTTTTTTCTTAGAATAAAATATTATTTGATAACATGTTTTAATTTTCTAGCTCTGGAGTTCATTCCAATTTCTTTTCACAGTGAGTGATGCTGAATCTTCAAGTGCATTTACTGGAAAAAGGTTTCATCCCAAATTAACCTTAAAGAAAATTTTTAGGGTTTGGCAGGAAGCTTCACAGTTAAGATTTCCATAGTATAATTCCTAAAACTCCAATATATGAATGAATTGGCTTAAGAAAATGTACTCAATTGTTCTCAGCTTCAGTAATCTATATATTTTCAATATTACTATCTTGTATATTGGTCAATCTATGAGAAATCTTCAGAATAGTTGCCTTGAGGCAGAAGTACAGTAAGTGCTGGATAGTGTGACTATTATTATTCAAAATTATGAACTTTCACTTTTCCAGAATAATTTGACAATATAAAAAGATAAACACAAGCAGTCCATTCCCAAGCAGTCCAGCTATTGTTCTGCTTGCATTTCAAGTACTTTGCATTTCTTCTTTCAAAGTCTGTTTGTCCTCCCAGCTCTGAAGCAGTCACCAGACCACAGGCAGCAACTCCCATTGGAACCCATTAATTCTCTTCTAAGCACAGGGCAAAGAAATCAGCACACAGAGATGTGTTGATCTGGCTGCTACCAGCATTGAAGAATGAACAGCAGATGTTGGAAAATAACCCAGTGATCTCTCCCCTCATGGACTTGTCCTTTCAGAGTAGACCTTGTGAGGGAAATAAGTGTGGTCTTGAAGTCTATCATTTGCGAATAATACAGTACATTTTATAGTTCACTGTTATCCAAACAGTTATAAACTTTGGCTTCTATGTTTTTGATGATAATTGTGTTTACTGGTTTTTAGGCTGTTTGTAGACAATTTAAAGCTTCACAGTATTCATTGATAATTTCTTACTGGAAGCTCTTTTTCTGAATTCATATGAGGAATAGTTTTGATAACCCTGTCATTACTTTCTTTATAAAATGAGTAATATGGAAATGGATTTTCTATGTACATAGACTCAAATAAGACATTAAATGTGAAATTATATTGAAAGCTTCAAAAGAAAATATGACTTTGTATAGACATGTACATATAGAATATGATACATATAAAATGTTACAGTCTGCACGCACACAATATGGGGAACTATCATCTCTCTATATTCATGACTCCAACTTTAAGTCAGTCCCAATTATAAAAGTCTCATGGTTGACAATATTGTGGATAACAGCTTCCAAATTATTTTTATATTGAACACTCTTGTTATATCATGCCCTATATTTCTTCAATGCAAGTATTTGTTAATTCTGTGGATGCTTCTGAGATCCTGCACTAGATCTATAATCTCTATGGAGTCACCCTGTGATGCAGTTTTCCCATATGGGCCTTCTTAATGCCTAGTCCATTTCAGGCTTCCTGTTAACAATGTAATTGTTATTTGCATGTACATAGTTATCTCTTTTTTTTTTTAATAAGAAATTTGAATTTTCATTTGTTATCCTGTTTTTTTCTCATTGGAACATCTCTTTTAAAAAATCTAGTGTAATAGTAGTGTCCTTTTCTGTACATATGGAATTAAGAAAATGATGACTCTATTATTACTCTGACTCAGGTTATATGATATGATCTCCTCAATTGGAAGAGCTTGTAAAGCAGATGCCAACAATTTTTAGATATCTTACATGACTTGCTGTTCAAATCATGTGATTGAGCTTAATTTATTTATTATCGAGCTTAATTTTTTTCTTTGCATGCCTAAGATTTAAGTTGGAGCAAGCAAGTACAGCTATTGTCATAGCTCCAGCAGCAATATTTCTTATTTCCTATTGTGAGCTCAGAGTCTTGCTAGAGGCTGATAATCAGCCTGAGTAAGTATCAGATATGCTCTTTGCCCCAAGAGCTGACCATATTGTCAAAGAATTAAGATTAATTCTAAGGAAAGAAAGCAAACAAAAGTTTTCAGCCTAACTGAAAAGCTCTTGTGCTGACTATAAGGTATGGAATTTTCATTTGGAAACTGGATTGGGCCTTTGATAGATATTCAAATATTTAATTAGTTGCACCAGTTTTAATGTGATTTTCTGATGATGGAATTAAATATAGATTAAAGAAATTTAAACTGTCTTAGGTCACATACTTGTAAATGGCAGAATTGTCATTTTACAATGTTCAAAAAAGTCTGCCTACTAATCTTTTTTGTTTTTTTTTCTTTAAAGATTTACTTATTTGTGCTTTCAGAACTGAGGTACAGGCCAGAGGCTCAGGGACTGTGAGAGGCTTC